AGGCCATGTCTGCAAGTGAGCCATGGTGGGTTGTAGACAGACACACTAAAGGGTTTGGTCTCCTTTTAGGTATATAGATATATGATAGATAGGTGAGTTTAGTGCTGCTCAGTAGATTCTGACTCAGAGTGAGGCCATGGGCTAGAGTAGGACTGGCCCATGGGATTTCCAAGTCTGCAAATCTTTCCACTGGGAGCTCTGGTGGCCTAGTAAGTAGGGAGCTGCCAAGCCAAAGGCAGGAAGTTAGACTCTCACAACTGCTCTGAAGGCACAGATGGGTAATCTCTTTGAATACAATTTATAGCCTCTGAAAACCCACTGGCAGGCCAGCTGTGGGTTGGTTCTGACTCAACAACAATGAGTCAGTCAATTGAATCTCTATATAAATGCCCATCTCTTCTTCTTAAGGAGCACCTAGGGGCTTTGAAATGATGACCTTTTGGTTAGCAGCTAAGTGCTTAATCACTGGACCACAAGTGTTCTACAGGTAGGCAGATAGAAAGGCCGAAAGGTAGGTAGATGGTAGGTAGGGTGATAGGTAGACAGCTGCTGTCAAGTGGATTCTGTCTCATGGTACAACAGAATGAAATAAACATTGCCTGGTCCTACGCCATCTGCATGACAGTAAGCATGCTCCAATCTAACAGTGAGCCAGACTACCTGACAACTGGCCTTTCTCACCCATACTACCCCTCTACTTCACCAACAAAATGGCTTCATCCAGTGATTCATCCTTCCTGATGATGTATTCAGTGCAAAAAAGCCAGACAATGTTCTGTTGTGACTAAGGTTTTCACGGACTGATTTTTAGAAACAGACTGTCAGGACCTTCTTTCTAGTTGGCCTTTATCTGCATGCTCCATTGAAACCTGCCTACCATTGTGGACCTGGTGGTATCTCAAATATTGGTGGCATAGCTTCCAATCTCACAGAAACATACAAGCCACGGGAGAATAAACATCCAGCCATGCCCTTGTTGTTGTTCTGTATTATCAAGGTGGAAACTGACCCATAGCTGATCCTCCAGTTAGTTTTCAGAGGCAATAAATTGCGTGTGAAGAGCCTGCCCATCTTTCTCCTGTGGAGCAATTGATGGATTTGAACAGTGTGCCTTCTTATTGACAGCACAGTTCTTTACCACTAAACACTGGAGTTCCCTAAAAGAAACAATTGTTGTTGTTGTTGTTGTTATGTGCTGTCAAGTCGCTTGTGACTCATAGAGACCCTATGTACAACAGCCCTAAACTCTGCTCTGTCCTGTGCCAATCGTACCGTCTCCCATACACCCATCCTAATTACCCCAGTCACTAAATCAATCCAGCCCATAGAGGGCCTTCCCCTCCTGCGCTGTCCCTCCACCCTACCAAACATGATGACCCTCTCCAAGGAAGAGATCTAATTAAATAGAAAAATGTTTCCTGTTCAAGTATAGGAAGATACAGAATTGTGAAAATGACAATACTACCAAAAGAATCTACAGGTTCAAGGAAACCCCAATATAGATACCACACTCATTCTTCTTGGATATAGAAAAGACAATTTCCAGTTTATTTGGAAAAGGGGAAAAACTCAAATAAGCAAAGCTTTTCTGAAAAAGAAAAATTAAATACGAGGCATCATACTCCCTGATTTCAAAACCTGCTATTCAGCCACAGTGAGCAGAACAGCATGGGATTGGTGGAATGACAGACAAACAGACCAATAGAATAGAATCAAGAAATCAGAAATCAATCTGTCCACTTGTGGTCAATTGATATTTGACAAGGAAATAAAACTCATCAAACAGGGAAATGACAGCCTCTTTAACAAATGGTGCTGTCAAAACCTGACATTTACCTATAGAAAACTGAACAGCATTCACATCTTATACTATACACAAAACCTAACTTAAAGTGTATGAAAGACCTAAGGGTGAAACATAAAACCATGAAGCTCAGGGACAAAATATGTACAAATCTGGGAAGCAGCTATGCTGAACATGTTTCATGATGACCGAGTGAAATGAATGGAGGTTGCCATCTAGGTTACCCTTCCATGCTCCTTACCAAATATTGATTAACCATCCACGCTCCTTACCAGACTTTGATTAACCACCCATGCTCCTTACCAGACTTTGAGTACCCATCTACTCACCTTACTGGACTTTGGTTACCCATCCACGCTCCTTACTGGACTTTGGTTACCCATCCACTCTCCTTATGGGACTTTCTAGACTCTACGCTCCTTTCTAGACTTTGATTACCCTTCCACGCTCTGTATTGTTGTTGTTGTTATGTGCCGTCGAGTCGTTTCCAACTCATAGCGACCCTATGCACAACAACCCTAAACCCTGCTCTATCCTGCGCCAACCGCACCGCCTCTGACACACCCATCCCGATTACCCCAGTCACCGAATCAATCCATCTCATAGAGGGTCTTCCCCTCCTGCGCTGTCCCTCCACCCTCCCAAGCATGATGTCCCTCTCCAAGGACCCATCACTCTTGGCAACATGTCCAAAGTATGTCAGACGAAGCCCCAGAATCCTTGCCTCCAAGGAGTAGCTTGGTTTAATCCTCTCCAAGATGAATCTGTTTGTTTTCCTGGCAGTCCATGGTACATTCAGTACCCTTCTCCAGCACCACAGCTCAAAAGCATCCACTCTCCTTCTGTCCTCCCTAGTCATTGTCCAACTCTCTGATGCATAACAAGCGGTTGCAAAGACCATGGCCTGTATCTGGCGCACCTTAGTCTCCAGAGAGACACTGTTGCTCCTGAGTACTTTAGAGAGGTCCCTGACAGCAGACTTTCCCATCGCGATACGCTTTTTGATTTCCTGACTGCTGGTGCCAAGAGTGTTGACTGTGGAGCCGAGCAAACTGAAGCTGTGAACACTCTCAATCTCTTCGTCATCCATCCTGATGCTGCCAATTGGTCCAGTGGTGAGAATCTTTGTCTTCTTGACATTGAGCCTCAGTCCATACTGAAGGCTGCAGTCCTTGACCCTTCGCAGCAAGTGCATGAGGTCCTCCTCAGTTTCAGCAAGCAGGGTTGTGTCATCTGCATAACGGAGATTGTTAATAGACCTTCCACCAATCCTGATGCCACAATTCTCCTCATAGAGCCCAGCCTCTCGGATAACCTGCTCTGCATACATGTTGAAAAGGTATGGAGACAGGATGCATCCCTGGCGTATACCCTTCCCAATTTTGAACCATGCAGTGTTACCCTGCTCTGTTCTGACTACTGCCTCTTGGTCCAAGTATAGGTTTCCTATTAGCACAATTAAATGTTCTGGGATTCCCATTCTTCTCAGAGTCAGCCACAGTTTGTTATGATCCACACAGTCAAATGCCTTTGCATAATCAATGAAACACAGATAGACATTCTTCTGGTATTCCTTGCTTTCAGCCAAGATCCATCTAACATCAGCAACAACATCCCTAGTACCGTGACCCCTTCTAAACCCAGCCTGGCCTTCCGGCAGTTCTCTGCTGATGTGCTGTTCTAATCGTTTTTGAATGATCTTCAGTAGAATCTTGCTTGCATGTGAAATCAATGACACTGTTCTGTAGTTTCCAAACTCAGTTGGGTCACCTTTCTTTGGAATGGGAACAAATATAGATCTCTTCCAGTCAGTTGGCCAAGTGGTTGTTCTCCAGATTTCTTGGCACAACTTACTAGGATATAATTACCCATCCATGCTCCTTACTAGACTTTGGCAGCTGCCTTCTTGAAAAGTGAAATTGCTTTTTACCTTATCTTTTCATAGTCTGCCCTACTCCACTAAGAAACATGATCATAGGCAAGCTCAGCAAACATGGCAACAATGGCACAAATGAAACAAGGTCTTAGTTATTAGATAAGACAGGTTCTAACTTCCCCACTTCTTTCCCTTTTTTTCTGTATCGGCCAGCAGAGACCTGATGAAACATCACCTGGGTAAGTTTTCTCATTGACACTAAGGGCCTGGCACAGATACTTTGAGAATCAGGCACAATGAGAAATGGTGGGCAAGACTTACCAGGGCTCACTGGAGCTTCTGACTGGGTTCATCTTGGCCCTGCTCCTAGAGGAAAATACAGTCCACACTTGTGCACTGGAGACACCACACAGTGCACACACAGGGAGGGCCAGACTGCAACCTGAATCTCAAATGTTGGCCCCAGTCACTCATCTCCCCAGCCCTCTCCACGGCTGCCACCAAATGAACAATGATTCTGATAGTGGAGGTACTCAGAGGAGGCGAACAAAGTGTGGGTACGTTGTTGTTGCTCTCTATTTTTAATTCACTCCTGACTTGCCGGTTTAGGTAATTTATTTCTTTATCCCAGTAATTAAGTACAAGAGTAGCTGCCCACTTTTGAAGAGTGTGAGGTCACCAGTTTGTCACTGTCCCTAATGCTATTGCCTTTATACTTAACAGTATGCATTAGGAGTACTGGTAGGTCAGAAATAGGGAGTTGTGCTGCCAACCCAATGGTAGACAGTTTGAGCCCACCAGATGCTCTGTGGGAGAAAGATAGGCAAGGAATTCTCTTTTTCTAATTTATTTTTTTGGCAATGATTTCCTGAAGATCACTGTTCTATTATGTGGAAGCTCAGTAAAACCACATGTGTTGTAAATGTTATTTACTTTTGGAATCTTGAAATGATGTAAGTTCATCCTAAATGATAGCTTGCTCTGGGGTGGTGGTCTCCATGACACCTCTGTTGCTACTGTACTGCTATAACAATCTTTGTAAACCATTGAAAGTAGAGCAGATTCCCCCATCAACCCTGTACAAATTCTCTGGGACTTGTTGCAGCTGTGTCTGGATGAAGATTAGATGTATTTAGAAGTGAAAGACTGGAGGGAAGACTATAGGACACCGGCCGGAGAGTTTTGGGGAAAGAACAGAGACCCAACTGCAGAAGATTGGACCAATTCACAAAGGAATTCAGAAGGGTCCACCCTTCCCACAGGAAAGCAGCCAGATCACAGCACAGAGAGAGGGCCCTCTCCCAGGAAGGCAGGTCTCACCATGATGCTCTGGTCTCCCAGATGTAACAGCAGCCTGGGCCACCAAGTGTGCAGAGTCGGCAGCTTCTTCTTGAGAGGAGCATTTATTCAGGATGATGAAATGCGCCTGCCAGAAAAAAAAAAAATCCAAAACAAATGTGTTTATACAACTTGGCATCAGTGAAACTGTCCTTACAGGGATAAGCAAAGAGCTGGACGATGGAAGAAATTATTTAAAAGCGACATGTAGTGGAGAGTGTAGTGAACTCTGATTACAGAGGGCCTGACATAGCCACTATGGTTTAAGTGTGTAGCTTTCTGGTTGATTCTGAGTCAGAATGACCTGTAGAGCAGAGGACAGAGCTATCTCATAGGGTTTCTGAGGTTGTAAATCCAAATAGAGCAGATGGCCCTATCTCTATCCCATCAAGCAACTAGGGAGTTCAAATCCCTGACCTTTCAGATAGAAGGCAGACATTTAAGGAGGGGTAGCTTAGTAGTTTGGAAGAGGTGTGACATCCACTTCCTAAAACTCTTTGATAAATGAAGATAAAGGAACTGATAAAATGATGATAGTTATAGAAAGAGAGTTGTAGAAAGGCTTCAGACCTTTTGTTCATAAAGTCGCTACAAGTCTTGCTTGACTGGATGGCAATCAACAACACAACAACCAGCTTAGTAGTAAGGAATTGTGCTGCCAATACAAAGGCATATGGTTTGAATCTACCAGCTTCCCCATGGGAGAAATCTCCTCCTGTGTGATTAACTGCTTCTGAAAACTCTCTGGAATGTCAGTTATAGGTTGGTTCTGACTCAGTGGTACACAACAGCAACTTATGCTGAGAGTCTATCAATCAGTAAAGCATGTAAAAATGTACGTATTCAATGAACATCAACTTATAATCATTGAAAAATATATCCTTTCCCCATCAATAAACGAATGGATAGAGAAGCTGTGGTATATTCACACAATGGAATACTACGCTGCATTGAAAAACAAGGAACTCATGCAATATTATTCAAAATAGGTGAGCCTGGAGGACATTATGCCGAGTGAAGTATCTCAGATGCAAAAGGACAAATATTGCATGGTGCCACTGTTGTAAAATGGGACTGATATCAGGGTTGGGGTAAGACTGAGAAAAACTGGATAAATTGTGTATACTGCACTGAAACAGATGAGGGAGTGAATAATTTAAAAGCGATGTATGATAGGGTCTTATGGTTATCACAAGAGTCCACAATTAAGGTTGCATAGTGGAATGTACTTGGGGTGGTGGGAGGGGTGCGGGGGGATTGTGTACTAGGGAAGGAGTGTTTCTTTTACTTTTGAAAGAGAGGAGCGAACTGGGGAGGGGGGAGGGATGGGCAGGGAGAGAAGTACAGCAATGAATGAATGGAAATACAAAATCTCTGTAAATGCTCATTAAAATTATTTTAAAAAAGGAAAAGAAAAATACATCCTTTCAACTACAAAGTTGCTACTCAGTTGTCTTTTTACACCTACAGTTTTAAAACTATTATTACTAATATGCTTATATACAACCAATAACCATACCAAACAGATCACCTACAACAGAAGAGGCTGTGCTATAAAGATTGGGAGGTAAGAAAGATTAAATGTGGTGAGAGAATACAAGGCAGTAACATGACGTGGGAGGTATTTAACAATTACTTGGGAGGACAGTGACAGAAATACAAAAAAATAGAAGGAAGCATTCAATGGAGATGGATGAAACCAGAAACCCTTGAGCAGTAACTAAGACGCAGAGCACGTAAAGTCTCAGGCTGTTCGCCAAAAAGGGCTCACGTTTGAATCCACCAGCTCCTTGGAGGAAGATGAACAGTTTCCTCCAACATAGATTATTACACAGCCCAGAACCCGATGGAGGGTACAACAAGCCAGGATCTCTGTGAGTGGGTTAATTTTAATAATACTTTCCGTTCAATATAAATTCATTTTCATGACAGTTTTCATTTATTATCTACAGTGAAAGGACTGAAGTTACTAAATGGATGACTTCTCCAAGATGTCACAAAGCTAATACAGAGCATCTCCCCTGGGTATTCTGATATTACACTATGCTCTTTCTACCCCGTTGGGAGCTCTGGATGGTTCAGCCACAGAATGCTCACCTTTCACATGGGAGGTTTGGGTACAATTCACCTCAGGCCCAGCTCCCCCTCACTCGTCTGTCCACTGAAGCTCGTGTGCTTGCTATGATGCTGAGCAAGAACCTGGTGAGCCACCAGATTAAGATGTACTAGGAAGAAGGGCCTAGGGATTTACTTCCAAATATCAGCCAGTGAAAACCCTCTTATGACAACAGTGACCTGAATCCTGAGAATGACTATGCATCTGGGGCTGACAGCAACAGCACAATCATGTAACTTGGGCAACCAGCCCATCCATGCTGGCTGCCATCATTAGTGGACAGCAGTACACACATCAGAGTACCCTGATGCAAACACCAGGTGGCTCTGCATAATCTGTATGGAGTGGCACAGTGGCAAGGCCACCCAAAGAGCATTCTATCCTGGAGTTAGCAGGGAGACAGCAAAAGAAGGGAGCATTTCTGAGACAGCTAACCAAGGCAGAGGGTTGATGCTTTGCTGTAGACTGCTGCCTGATTTGCCATCAAGTTGGTTTCAACTCACAGAGGCTCTACCTGGGGTTTCTAAGGCTGTAAATCATAACAGGAGGAGATTGCACATCTTTCTTCCAGGGAGCTTTGAACAGCTAACCAGCATGACATGCTTTTGACACACTCTCTTTTCAAATAATAGGGACTGAAAATACAGGCAATGTTGTTGGTATGTACTGTCAAGTCAAGAACCGACTCATTGCTGACCCTCAGGACTGTATAATAAATCACATGGGAAAGGACTGTCCATCTTTTACCTGTGGTGAAGCTGGTGAATTAGAATTGCAAGTCTTTGGATTGGTAGTGCAACTCCTTACTGATATCTTTAAATTGTGGTATTGAAGAAGAGTACTGAAACACACGAACTTCTTCAGTACGTGGACTGTCAAAAGAACAAACAGGTATCTCTTAGAACAGGTGCAGCCAGAGTGCTCCTGGAGACAAATATCACATAATTCAAGTATGTGGTCAGGAGAGGCTATTCCTTGGAGAGAGGCACATCATGCTTGGGAAGGTGGAGGAACACTGCAGGGGAGAAAGATCCTCAGCCAGGTGGACTGACAGTGACTTCAGCAATGGGTTCAAGTGTGTCAGAGATGATGAGGATGGCAGAGCATAGAACAGGGTTCAGACCTGTTTGTTCATAGGTTATTATGAGTGACAATTGATTCGACACCACCTAACAACTACAACAACAACTGTCTGTTGAATAGGGTTGTTGTTAACCACTGAGTTGAAACCAAGGTAATAAGATGTACCAGAGGAAAATGCTCACCTTTCTCCCACAGAGCAGCTGATGGATACAAACTGTGCCTCTAGGTTGGCAGCTCAACTCCTTACCACTGAGCCACTTAGTTGGAATAGTTTTTCATTTTGTTTTGTTTTAAAGTGCTTTACTTCCCACACTGAACAAGATCTTCAGTGGCAAAGAACAAGTGTACTCCCTTGGCCCCTACCAGGGTACAGCAGCTAGGCCTCCAACGGCTCACAGGATTACAGAGCTGGGATCCCACCATGCCAGGGCAGCTGCTGACAGACATGGCTGGGCTGGAGGGGGCAGGTGCTCATCTAACACGTGGAATGCTCCCTGAGGCGAAAGCCTCGTGACTAGTAGAGAAAGTGAGGAAACATTGCCTATACAAGCAGACCTTGACATAGAAATGCTTGAAAGACTGAGGAGCCTTGGGGGAGAGGAGGGAATAGTCCTTTAGGATGGCAAGTGAGAAAACAGTGGGACTGATTTTTTTTTCCATTTCAAAATCATGAAGGTTCACTGGCCCGAAGAGAAATGACCATTTTACCCCACCCACAGCTAAGTGGAACACCAACAAGCAGCTCAAGACATGGCTGTGGATTTAATTTAGAGATGGTATGATCCCGGACATGGTAATAAAAAAGAATGCTGACTCACAGCAATCTCTGTGTGTCAAAGTCACTGCTCCACAGGGGTTTTAAGCTGTACCTCGGGAAGCAAACCACCAGGCCCTCCTTCTGAGGTGCCTTTGAAGCATCAACTTTTTGGTTAGTGGTCTAGGGTTTAGTTACTTGTTCCACTTAGGGATGCCTGAAGAATAGAACACTTTAGGGGAAGACATAAATAATTTCCTTTATGACATCCAGATTTTTAGTACATTTTATGCTGAACCAAATAGTAAAACCCTAATTGTCTTCTCCTCCTTTATAAAATTTTGAACAGAAAAGATTGGTACTTGAAGATATTTCGTTAGAAATAGCATTAGGGTGATTCTTTTGAGTGAGTGCACTGAACCTAACAGCAGATACACAGATGAAGGAACAGTCAGTGGGGAGAGCTGCCGTTTGCTGAGGGCTGTGCCCAGCCAGGTCCAGGGGGAGCACGAGTGTCCATGACTCACTGCCTGGCCAAAGCTGGCAGACCAGGCACCCAGGGCTGGGGCTGAAGCCATTTTACGACTCCAAAGTCTCTACAAATGACAGATTACTAGTTCATTTTGCTTTAAACAACCATAATTCAGTACATTAGGAAATCCTTAATTGGCATGGCTGCCCTGAAAAGTGAAGTGCCTGAGATGTGAGCAAGGACGGCAGCCAGGGCAGCTGAGCCGATGCCCTCAGACAGCACGCACACAGGCAGTTCTCGGGCGCTGGGTGAAAGGCTGGGATTTTCCATTTGGAAGGAAAGTGAGGTTTTCCTGCCAGCTCTGCCACGAAAATTTTTAGGAACAGGGAGTGTGCCTGGTACTGTGACAGCTCCTGCTGCCGGTGACTGTCAGCTTGGGGAGGCCCCCTCCTCAGGGTAGGGCCAAACACTGACCAGCTAGGGCTCTGTGGGCGTGGGCAATGTTTCCCCACTTTAGCACTCCAGTGGAATGAAAAGTGAAAAATAAGAAACGAAACAACCGCCCCTTTTCTTTGAATGCATTTAACAAAATGCCTTGCTGGTAAAGATGGGACCACACTGTATCCTTCTCCATCTAAGGTAAAATTCCTAAAGAAAAGAAAC